GGGGGGGGGGGGGGGGGGGGGGGGGGGGGGGGGGGGGGGGGGGGGGGGGGGGGGGGTTCGCACACCTGTCACGGACAGCGAGCTCGAGAAGCCGGGGCCAGGGCCTGCGCTGCCGCTCTCAGTGAGTTGGTTTCACGAAGCTATTTGAGAGAAAGAGAAAGAAGCTCCTCGCTGCTAGAATTCGAAGAGCCATTGCCATGCTGCACTGTATCGTACATCGCGCCCCGCAACGAAACAAATCATCGCGCACACCACAGCACTCTGCCCCACGCCACAATATCAAACAATATTGCTTTGGAATCGATCCTGCCACAAAAGGAAGGCACCGCACCGCACCCACCGACCGTACTGCGCCCTACCGTACCGTACGAACAAACGCTTGTCAATCATGTGGGAGTGGGGTTGAGCTGTACCTGGCTCTCGAGGCCCTGAATTTTCCTGGATTTTTCCGCGGCTTTCTTCCCTCCCCCCTTGCCGGCCGACGACTTGGCCGCCTCCAGCTGTCTCTCGGAGAGTCCAAGCTTCTCATGAAGGCCCGCGAGGTCTTCCGCGACGCCGAGTCCCACCTGACGGGACGGGACGGGACGAGACGGGTCGGGACGGGGGATTGTGCTCATGTGAGCGCATGACGCAGCAGATAGACCATCGATCTCGCATCCCTAAAACGGCGAGACGGAGCTATATGCCGGGTTTTCGCCGGCCTAGGCTCGGGGACGGGGTTGAAAAAACAAGTACGATACCACAAAAAATACAAGCACAAACGGGACGCGTTAACAGCAACACACTTTTTGACTCCGCCGCAACACACAAACCATGAGCAGCATAAGCACCCAACCATTCATAATGTGTGCATGGAGATGATGAATGCATTCGTTGAGTTTTTGTCACAATAAAAAAACACACACGATAAAAGCACAATCACCTACATGTACCTCCATGCCGGCCCAACCTGTGCATAGAGATCGATTCAATGTGTTTTTGTACAAAAAAAGAAAAAACATGACAGGAGCACTTGATTATCAAATACAACAGTCACCTACCTCCATGCCGGCCAGTGTAGCTGCGAGACGGATGTCCTGCGAAGCCGAGTGGCTCGCGAGGGCCACCAGCACCCCCACCACGGCCTCGAGGGTGCTCGCGTCGTGGTCGTCCCCGCGCCGGCACGCTTCCACTAGCCTGTTGAAAACCTCGCAGAAGTTTGAACGGAAGATCCTCGCCGGCTTTTTTTTTTTTTGCGGGGGGGGGGG